AACTAACGGCGTTGAAGTCTGCATAGTAGGATATTTCAATGAAAATAAGTCCCCCAAAAATATTTGATGATTATTTTTTTAAATTTTGCACCCCAAATAAGCGCCCACCAGCCAGGACGATTTTTCTGATGAGCTAATTTACAGCAGAATCCGGTATTATATAAAGAAAGTATTATTATGGACATCTCACAGATATATTGCCGATGTTTTATACTGTTTGTAGTTTGCATATGAAGTGGTTGTTGATGCCCCTCCTATTATTCGACGTCGTTGACAATGCGATAACAATGCCACTCGCACTGTGCACATTTTAGCACTAGATCTAGTGCCATTTTTGCACTAGATCTAGTGCCATTTTTGCACTAGATCTAGTGCCATTTTTACCACTAGATCTAGTACTTTTTCGGATTAGTGCTACTAGCACTAACCACTCGCACTACGCCCATCTCAACACATTTACATACATGAAATGGCTGCCAAAGTTGTTGTTTCTAAGGTAACAAGTTAGGGCATCCCTGATTTGTGTTTAATCTTTGACATTCATTTGATAGAAATTTTCACTCAGGAAAATATTAGGATTTTTTTTCTGGTTATAATAATAATAATAATAATAACTTTATTTAATTAAGCGCAACAATTCCAACATATGAAGATCAAAGGCGCTGATACAATAAACAATCAGTCAAATATTAAAAGCACATTTAAATAAGTGCGTTTTCAGTCTGGATTTAAAAATGTCTACTGAAGGACTAGAACGAACAGACAGAGGTAATTCATTAAAAAGTTTAGGACCTAAATTTTCAAAAGCACGGTCTTTGTATAACACCTTGGACTTTTTACTACACACCTGACGAGTTTTAATAAGAAACTTTGATTCAGATCTTAAACTACGACTAGGTACATAAAATTCGATTAATTCACATAGATAATTTGGGGCAAAACCATACAAAGATTTATACACTAGTAAAAGTAATTTGAAATTGATTCTTTGTACAACTGGTAACCAATGAAGTTTAATAAAAATGTCTGTAATGTGGTCATATTTTCGAGCACGAGTGACAAGGCGGGCTGCTGCATTTTGTACACGAATAAGAGGTTTTATCTTAGTTACAGGGAGACCAGACAATAATGAATTACAGCTGTCTAAGCGAGAAGATATGAATGCATGTACCAACTTTTCAGTATCAGATTGGGATAATGATTTACGAATACGATTAATATTTCTTATTTATCTCAAAAAACATATTTATCCTCAAATTTGAACAGAACAGAACATGAATAGCATCAAGGGTTCATGAGATAAGGGCATGCAACTAGTGTGATACAGAATGGAGATCATGCAAATTGCAAGATGTTTTCATAAACTAACTCACCGTCAGCTTGACTTGCATCCATACTTTTAGCCACACCAGAACTTCTGATCCTTCGATGTTTTTTTTTCGTATGAGACGATGGAGGTTCTAATTTCGAACTATTAACGATACTACTAGCCTGTGAGCCTATGCTTGCCAAAGCCGATTCCAAACCATTGAAAATACCTACAAATTGCATTATTTTGTTTAAATAAGAATAGCAAAGAATGCTTTTCCTAAAATAAATCGAGCGCTACTGATTTACAATTGACATGAAGAAATAAATGAAGACACCTTGGAATCTGTGGAAACTGACTCAGACAGACGACAGTACCTCTGACTATTCTGTTTCAGTACGGTAATGACCAAATCCATTGTAGAATATTATTGGAATTTAACAATTATAAATCTGTTTATTATTATATCTTTATTTAAATTCTGAATGAGAAGATGATGAAGCCATTGAAGACCTTTGAGTAAATCAGAATTAATTATTTTTATATTTAAAGGACTATCACTGTCTGATCTCTGTAGACATTAGACACATTATACGATTCATGTACATATCAGAAAGCAATTATAGCTTATCCACTTAAGATTCCAAGACGTTCCCAAGACGCTGTCATTAAAGACCAGATGAGTTCATGCTCATTGCAGTATTCTAATCATTGTTAGCTACAAAGTTAGTACAATTATGATTTTATCGCTACTGATGTTATAAAATAAAATAAAAACGGAACTGGCAATATAGAAACTCGGTCACTGCTGCTGGGAGGTAGTTGCACCTTAGTCTGCCAAGTGTTAGTGTTAGTTTAAGACACAATTCTGCCAATACTGTGTCCTGGGAAATATTAGACAGAATGTATGAATACAAAACTCCAAGTAATGAAATGAAAAAACAAACAATACACATGTAGACATATAGCACTTAGTGAAAGAAAGTTTCTTTTTTGTTTCAAAATAAAACAAATTTGTTGAGAAAAAAAAATTGTTCATTGTTGTTTTCAGTAAAATTTGGTGAATGTATCAAATCAAAATGACGCATTGATGTTAATACCAATATTAGTGAACTCATTTGCATAAATGATTTGACTAGGGAGCTCATTTGCATAAATGATTTGACGAGTGAGCTCATTTGCATAAATGATTTGACAAGTGAGCTCATTTGCATAAATGATTTGACTAGTGAGCTCATTTGCATAAATGATTTGACTAGTGAGCTCATTTGCATAAATGATTAGACTATTTGACCCTATGTAATAGTTTATAGTTGTAGTAATATATGCTACATGTATGAAATGACAATAGATTATAATGGAGTATTGTATTCATAACCTTTTCACTGCCACGTAAATATTTGTCACCTTCCGCAAAATAGTGCACTAATTTCTTTTCACCAATGTCGGTAGCCTGACAAGTTGGCCTAGGATTGCAGCAGTCCAGGGCGCCACCTATGCCAACTTGTCAGGTTACATTAATGGTTGTATAAATGGCATTTTCAGATGACATTTAATTGGTATTTTAGAATTATCAACCTTTCCACCATCAGGCCTCTTCCAATTTTTTTCTTAAATCCTACAAAATTTATGGAAATAAACCCTAATTTTGGAGCCATCAGACAAAATTTGAGTCAATTTTCAGTTTTTATTCAAAAAATTTGACCATATCTTCTGAAAGAAAGTACAAACTATAAACAAGACTATTTTGTGAAAATGTGATGAAAAGAGGGAATTGATGGTGAGAAGGTTAGCATATTGTCATTTTATATTCATATTTTATATATTCATTTCATCTGTAGAGGTTTTTGGCAGGCGATGAGTTATGTGACATATCTAATGCACTAAGAAGAAAAATAAGAAACCACGCACGTTGGAACATATCGTATCGGCAAATAAAATTGAATCATGCTGAATATTATTGATATTTGAACATTAATTACATACTCCTGGCAATTTGCATATACTGTAACTAAATTCAATTACACGAGAGACAATTTTTTGATAATATCACGAGTCAGTGAAAATTATAAACTTTTGTAGCAGTGAAAACTCTTCTAGGGTTTTACAACACAAAGTGTCAGTGTATTTCACAAAATATTCTTAAATGCAAAAAAAACATTAAATCGCCAAAATTCCTAGTAGCAAAATTAAGTGATTGAGAATATTCATAGCATTAAATATGTCACATTATACTATAATGACACTAATAAAATTCAAGTTCAAATCATCCAAATTATTATCTTGATTGTTGAAATTTGTGGGAGGGGGAGGGGTGGCAGTGAAAAAGTTCACATTCGTTATCTGGTTGATAAATTATAACTTAGTAACCTTTGGGACTACGTGAGAAGATAAAACGATGACGGGATGAGGAGAAACGTGAGGTTCTAGAATAACTCGGTGAATAAACAGATAGGCAGGACTGTGAAAGACATTGAGGTAAACTAGCAGAGTATGGGTGAACTAAAAGTAAAATAAATATAAAAAAAAAAAAATTATAAATGTTATGCTGCAATTTAACACTTTGATAAGTATGAATTGACTAGAAATGAAATAAATTATTATGAATAAAAAAAAAAATAATTAACACCAATTGTTTTTAAGCTGCAGTTGTGGTTGCATTGCTGTAATACCGACAACTGATGTGGCCCTTAATCTGAATAATAACTTAAAAACAATAGTCTGGAATACACATACTATTACATGATTGTCCATTGTTATAACAAAATGATTATTTTGAAAGTTTTTGAAAAAAAAAACAGTCTGCTAGAGGTGCATCATGTTGAATAGCATTAAGATGAGGAAACCTTCTAGCGACTATTACGTTAAATGGCAGGAATGGTTAGGGCGCCCTCTGTAGTTCGTTTTGTTAAATGAAATGGTTGATAGAGAGCCCTCTATAGACCAACAAGATAAACAAAAGGAAGGCAAAGAGACATTTGGAAGCAATCATGTATTACAGTGAGTTTCAAGACCATTGTTATTTTGAAATTTAGCAACTGCTTAATGTGAACATACTGCAATTAATTGCTGTTAGTGACATGCAAATTTTGCAGTCAGAATAATGAGTGCTTACCAGATGAGTTAATCCAAATAACAGATATGCAAATGAGGAAGAAATGCATGATGGGTGAAAAGTAATTAGTTTAGCAATAATGTACATTCATGAAACATTCTTCATGCAAATATCATCCGCTTTCATAACTGATTTTTTTTTTTTTTGCATGCTAAAAACATTTTCGGTCCAAATTGCAATAATGATTTGGAGTAAAACTTTGAAAGTTTTGAAAAAATATAGTCAGTATACATGTATACTGTACAATGATTAATTTTCACTGGGTTTAAATTTCACTGATTTACCATTTCAGGCATATTCAGTGGGGCTTAAATTCACAGTTTTATCATTTAGATAATGTGTTCTATGCTAAATTTTTCATATTCACTGGGTTTTAATTTAACACATTTTCCAGTCAGCGAAATAAGCGAAATTAAAACCCAGTGAATAATTAATCCTTTTACAGTACACTTCTACATATAAGGTAAATGTTTAGCATCTATGATTGGTTTGTCTTCACATGGCAAATGTAAACACATTCACACATCACTTAATATATTGGCCAATCAAATCAACCGCAAAAAATGCATAGATTCAAGGCCATAGCAGTTTTTATCAAAGATCACAAATTGAGTATGGTTTAGTACGGTTAGTTGATGTGAGATACCACTGAAGGTAATCGAAGAGTGGTTTAAATAGCTGCATAAAATACATGCATGATTGAAACTGTGTTACAGAGATAAAACAAAGTGAAAGCATAACAGCAGAAAGTTGTTCATTGCAAGACAGATACGTTCCGTCATTCATGAATTATCATGCTAAAAATGATGTTGACAATCTAAACAAATAAAAACTGAAATTGATTTGATATAATCAGTGTTGCAGTCTCAGAACGATGATACAAGGTGTGTGATTTTATAGCAAAAATTTGAAAGCTGTCCTCCATTTATGGATTGCGTTGAATTCTGATTAATTTGATTTCCAAGACAGTTAAAAATATTTTCAAATCTACATAAGCACTTCTGGAGATGCAGAAATTAATGAAATATTTTGTATTTGCTGTTAACAGCCGCAATGATTTTATAAATGACAGAGTTATGGCCAAACAATATCGTATTTGCTTTATTAGAAGTGCATTTCCAATAAAACGCAGACACATTGTATTTACTGTATGTTGGTTCATTAAAATACAACTTATTTTGATTCTTGTTATTCATGTGGGTGCCAGCGAATAAAAAATGGAAGTAGTATGTCACATTGTGTGATAACGGGAAATTTATGTCTACACATAAGTAGTGTCATTCAAATGTGTACAGATGTAGTACATTTTTGGCTTATGTGCTATGCATCCAATTTATTTATATAATTAATTTTAATTCATTGAACAGTAAACCAATTAAAAAACCCGCCCTCCAAATTATAAATAGGTACACATTTGTTTATCAAAAGCAGTTATACGATAACAATTCTTATCACTTACCTGGAGTGATGGACGAGTTTGATATTACAACCGCATCCCAGTTCCCGTCATCTCGCGGTAACGAACATGTTTTTGTATGGATTTCTTGTTTATCTTGATAGGACACAAGATTGATATTCTTATCAATTAGACCAAGATTTGAATGTATTGCACCTGTATTCCAAACAATATATAAAAAAAAACTGCAAACAGTGCAACAAGCAACACAAGCGTGAAAATAAATTATCAAACACAAAAATAGTTCACTGTGCTGAAAGACAACAGCAACAACAGCGTTTACATGGACAGACATATACCCTTTTATTCACTCTAGTACAAGCCAGGCAAGCAACATGACTTATTTATTGCTATGCAAACTGATTACAACTGATGATCAAAGGCAAACAAAGTTATAGGTAATAATAAAATTATTACATTGTAAATTCAACTGCTTTATAATTTACCTAATATTTCACATAATATTTTTTTATAACACTGTTATTGCAACCAGTGTTTTCATTTATTTTATTTCAATAAATTGTCTGATTTGTAATTTAATTTGAATTGCAATATACCAGGGTATCCTGACTGGGACAAGAATTTGATGATTTTCTAGTTTTTTGTTGTTTCAGTAAATTGTAAGTGGGCTAGGGTTAGCAATGTTACAATCAAAAATAGCACACAAAAAATAAAGTAAAAATAAAAAAATAAAAATAAAGCAAAATTTACACAGGCCAGAATCATCTGAACAATTGTGTCCAATTTCTTGAGATAATTACCGTACTTCCCCAAGTATAAGCCCAGGGGCCTGAACATGTAAAATCGGGAAAATCAGGGGTGGGCTTATACTCGAGGACCACCTCAGAAAAGATAATTTTTGGGGGGTTTAAAATTGTAACCATCTTCCCAACCACGAAAAATTATTCAAATTACATTTTTCGTTCACAGCACCGGTCTTGAAGAAATATTACGTCTTTTTGATTTCCACAACACTTTTTAAAATGAAGAAACAAACATGTTCATAAAAATACACACGTTTTATTACAATACGGTTTATATACCGTCTGAATTTACGATGCAAAAATGGGTAGGGTCTGTGGGAAAATAGTCGAAGGCAAAACTTTATCGTTAATATCTTCGTTGTGGAATGTTTTCGATCGTACGCAAACTCTCGTTACAATGCAATTTCCGCCATGGTGTTTTTCATCATGATTTGATCTGAACAACTTCCATTGACCTAACAGGTCACGTCTTTCGTTAACCAATCAAAATGCTATGTTGTACAAACGAAGTTTTCCGATTATTGACAAAGTCATTTTTTCAACGCAATGCTGAAGTGAATTACCGCGATGTTAAAATGCGATCTGATTTCGACAAAAAACAGTGATTTTTTCCCTTAAAGCTGTTGATTCTCAATTTTTGAAAGGTAAACTGAGGGTGGAGGAAGTATTTAAACTTTTCATGGTCGTCAATAAGTCATGTCGAAGAATAGTTTGCTCGTTCACATCCCATTCACAATACTGTAAAATACTTTATTTTCACTTGGAATTAATTTTCGCTATATTCGCTGAAGGAATGATTCAATGAAAATTAAATCCAGCGAATATACCGTACCTTTTTCCCTATATTTTACATTCAAGTTGTCAAAAGTCCGTGAAAATAAATTCATACAAAACACCCAAAAAGTCTTTTCAGTGAAAATTAATTCCAGCTAAAATAAAGTGTTTTACAGTAGTTTCAATGAACACGATTATTCGGAAAAGTAAAACGATGTTCAATGATCAGGTTTCACGACTTGACGATCACATTCTTGGCGTTTCTAAAACCACTACTCAAAAGAAATATGGATTGTTTCAGTATTGCAACATCGGGGTTCATCCTGAGTAAATAACAGAATAGAAAAAATCTAAACCATGTCCCGTACGTTCGCCGACCATGCACTCTGAAATTAATGCGAGTTTTCTCGTGGAAGCAGGAACCAAACTACCGTACCAATCACGATTATTATTCAATGAAATACACTTTTTACATGCATATTTGTAATAAATGTCATTGACGCCCGGTAAAAACACCCTGGGCCTATACTCGGGATGCCCTAAACCTGTTAAATGTCTAAAAACAGAGGGTGGGCTTATACTCGGGGAGGGGCTTATGCTCGGGGAAGTACGGTATAATGATTTGAAAAAGAGTTGATATACGGTTCACATTTATAGGATTTTGTAGTAGAGGCTGTACCTGCAAAATTTATAGAGTGTTTATTCTTGGGGGCGGAGCTACTGTTGCTAAGACGCGCACCACTGTACCATGCATTTCTATGGGCTCTGTGTGCGCTGATGTGGAACGCCAGTTGAAGTGCCGTTAGAAACAGCTACAGTTGAGGACACAGCACAAACTCAACTTTGAATTAATCCTAAACAACCAAATTGATACATGTTGCAATTTTTTCCCCATAGTGATGGTTGCCAGGCAATGAAAATGCCCGGATACCCGTCTGAGAATAAATATTTCTTAGTATAGTATTGTGTGCCTCTGAATAGACACCATTTATATTAGATTAGAAAAACAAACTTTGTTTGTTATATAATTAGGATTTATGCCTTTATGAGAACAATTACACTGATAAAGTAAAGCATGGTGACACGTAAGACACTCGGCAAACACAAACAAACCATGCAGCAAAAAAAACAAAAAAAAACCCATTCATTACAGTGATTAACACTGAAACATACATTTGATTATCAAGGGGTGGTTCATTCACATCCCTGGGGTGGCATAAAAGATTAAGTTAAAATCATGAAAACAAAATTCAGTTTGAAAATCAGTTTTCATCTGTCAAATCTTCTTACCTACCCCACATAGTTTTTTATGACCCTCCCCCATAACGGGCATGGCTTACCTAGATTACCAGTTATTGTCATAGCACCAAAATCGTTTGTCATCCCATTTGTACCAGAATTGCCTCTAGAGGGCGCCCCAACAGGATTAGCTCTTGCTAAGGGTGGCCTTTTACCAGGAACCTTGACTGTTGTATTCAGAAGCAAAATTTCTTTTCCATGAACATCGTCCATGTAATCCTAGAAAAAGATTAAAAAAGAACATAGCGAAACTAATGAGAACTTGCCAATTTACAGATTCAGACGACTGTTTGACATCACACTTGTTTGCATGTGCCACTAACTGGGCAATATACATTGGACTGGACGATGGTTTTTTTTTATTGCACACATTATGGCACACATTTGATTGACACTACTTACGTGTAGACTGGGATGATACGTAAGCTTCCCATTATCACACAACGTGACATACTTCTTCTTCCATTCTTTATTCAATGACTTACTGCTTCTCTTGTAAAGATATCCCTAAGATGAAAAAAAGGGACGATGCAATTTAGGATGAAACACAGGAAGTGGAAATTCCCATCACGTCTGAATCATTCCTGTTCTCCATCAAATCTTTGTTTGAATTTAGTTTACGATAATAGCCTGTGACGCTGATTTTGGATGTACACTTCCCATGATGCATTTCACTATGATCAATAAGAAAATTTGTAGCACCATCACTATAGTGCAAGACGAGAGTGCGAAAGCGCCAGTTCTCGCATTTCAGCAAGATTTCATAATATTCTCACCAATATTGATAGGAATTTTATAAATTCTCATTACTGCATTTGTGAAAATATATTTGTTGGTGAGATATAAAATTCTCCGTTTTCAGTAAAAATTCTCACTATTTGTCTACCAAATACTCCAATTGATGAGAATTTTGACTACTCGGTAATTAAACAGTGAAATTTGAAATCGTTAGAATTTATATTCTCACCAGTGAAGCAATGAGAATTCAGTTTCTGACCATGAAAAAATAAAAATTCTCACTGACACTGGTTAAAATAATTACTAGTACTCAGTGTCAATACCTGCCCATGTTTTTCACTTTTTACTAATAGTGCATGTGGTATGCTTCATAAAGTAGTTATATAATCAAATGACAGTGACGACTAACTTTAAAACGACTGATGTACTCACCTGTTTAATTGGAATAGATCTACCACTACCGAGACTAAGATTATCTCCATTCTTAGCGTCGTTGACTTTGTTTTTGTTTGGCTGAATAGAAAAATAGGTAATAATCAGAAAGCGATGATTTTTAATTCGTCATAGTAATATAACATTTATATATACCTGTAATTTGTTTTAATAAGTTTTAAAAATGTTAGTTCACAAATATTTGTATTTAGTATCTGGTACAAGTATGATAACAGTTGATGAAAATATACCTAATATTTAATTAAAATTAATTAAAATTAATTAATTAAAATTAGAATTTACAAACAATTTTTTTAAATTTTTACATCATTGTAAAGTGCAATTTTCAATAATTCTTTTTTTAATAATTTCATATATAAGAATTATTGACAAATTATTTTGACAACAAGTTGACGTAAGAATACTCTCATTGTAAAAAGGTCACCATCATGCAATAATAAACAAAACAAAAAGTTCTTGTCTTGCCATGAAACAGTTTGTTTTGTTTTAAACATTTTTTACGCTACACACATGCAAATTGTGCTAACAAAACTTTGTACATAGCGTCAACCAGAGGCAGCGGTGACTGATTCTTCTAAATACCTCAGTTACAAGTTCGAATTTTATGAAAACAAACAATGTATAAACAATGTATAAAGCATAACGTGGTGTGACAAAGTTTCTTTTTCAGATTTTTAAGACTGAATAACAAGTTGAATACATTAATTCAGTTCAGATTGAAAAAACCCGACTCGCAAGATATGAATATAATACTAACTGTAAATATATTTGATCTTCGTCTCGCTTTCCTTCCTATACTCGGCGTACTGCTGGGACTTGGCGGTGGTGGATCTTTACTATTTTCTTGCTGTGATGTCGGTTGTTGTTGTTGCTGTATTTGTTGTTGTTTATGCTTGTGATCTTCCTTCATTGTGTTGTGATGTCGTTGTAAACTGGGCGTCTGCGGCAGTGCTATACTACTATTGCTTGATGTGGCAGGGGTGGCTGGGGTTTGTGTGGGTGCTGGTGGGGGTGGTGCTGGCAGTTGTGGGATTACAAAATGATTACTGTGTATAGACCGTGGGGTACTGGGTAAAGAGTTTGTAGGCGTGAAAGTAGGAATAGGAATGGGATTCAGTCTACGTTGCTCCACTATCTTTAGGGCCGCTATTAAAAAAATATGAAGAAATGCTTATTATTAATAATAAGAAGAAGAAAAAGGTACGCAACTGGTACGATACGTGATGGCGATCCCAATTTGAAGTGACATGAATTGCAAGATGATAATAAATTTACAAAACAAATGTACATTCTGTGAGCCTGTGAAACTTTTTGCTTACCGAATTCACCATGCCTGGACTTTCTATAAAAAAAAAATTAAAGCCGAAAACTAGAAGTTGGGTTCACTCTTCCACTGATGAAGGTATGCCCATGCCTGGTTTTGAACATCACTTAACTTTTGTGCCAATCAGTGAGCAGACACAGCAGTAAAAAAATTTATTCGTCAAAATGTATCTAACATTTGTACTAATGAGACATATGTAGTTCATGGGTTATAAAGACAGAAGAGACACAAAGCATTGCGGATACTCACCATCCTGGAAGACTCTCTCTATATTAAGACCATACGTAGCACACGTTTCATAGTACGGACACCGTTTTAGATCACTAGCGAGTCTACGGGCTCTGCTATCATCTATCACTCTCGGGTTGCTTTCACTTATACCATCTGTAAATCATCATATAATAAATCACATTAATCATCTACCAATTCAAGAGCAAATGAATAAAGGGTATGTACCTCTCATATTAATGAAGTTGTTGTATACACAAACCCGATATTCTGACAGTCAACCTCCTTAAATAATATATATCATAAAACATCACTTTGGTGTCAGTCGAAAAAAGTTATATTTAGTTTGAAGTTCTTCATTTTGGACCCCCCCCTTAATGAAGTATGGAGGGAGTGGGGGTCTTACAGATCTAAGAGAGTCAGACCATTAAACTAACATAATAATATGGCGCCCAGTATGGAATAATTAGCATATTGTATTTATTACCATGCTAGTTAATTAAACCATTAAGCGCCTTTGTCAACTTTTGGTATCAAATACAAAATGATTTGTGTGATCTGCACATCCTCATTTGAAATAATGATGACAAATTGTTGATGAAAGTGAGCGAAAATTTAAAACGCAATGCATCTAAGTTTTGCCAGTGTTTCACAGAAACCATAATGGCGTTTCAATTCTATCACACACACACAACAGTATAGACTGATGATTGACATGCAGTTCAGAATATCTAAAGGTCATTCTAGGTCATTACATATTCTCCCCGGTTATTGCGGGTCATTTCAGGACATTCATCTCAGTCACTGAGCCACACTAAACCAGTCTACTCACCTTGCGTTCCGACCAGTATCAACGGCAACTCTGCGGTATTCCTATAATGAGCTATTTTTGCATAGAAATTATATAACGTATTAAAGCTGCTTTCGTCTTCAACGCTGAAAACTAAAATGACGGCGTCCACCCATGAACAGAACTGAAGTTCAGGTGCGCCACCTTCGTCCCGTATGAGCAGTAAATAATTTCTGCCGTCGACCACAATTTCTTTTTTGAACCTTCCTCCTGGAACGTAAATAAAAGATTTCCATTAACAGAGTCCTAATCTTGGAAATCATTCAAACCGTTTCAGGCACTCATCAACATGAGATCAAAATTTGATACGTTGGATTAACTACGCTCGTTAATCTGATAAAACCAACTGAAATGCTAAGCGTTTAATCCACACCAGTAAAATTAAGATAACATTCACTTGTAATATGAACCCTTGCACATACACAAGTCTGCTATCAGAGTGGGTTGAGCAAATTTCTGAGAAATTCACAATACAGGTACTGTCTATAAATATTCATTAGTTTATTAACTAGATTTATCACCATTATTAACTACTTCTAACTGTTATTTACAACAAAAGATGAATTTATTATTTCTACCATATCAATTTAACCAATCATCATTACATTACAAGTTCAAAACAGTGTAGATTCTCTTCAGTGTGTTAATTTCCCGGATTTGGTGTTCAATACTCACTTAGCTCACATTACTAGGCTCTCAGTTTACATATGTACATTTATTCCGGAATGAATCATTCCGTGTAGTGTTATCAAAATCATAAACTATCTAAGCACACACATTACGGATACATCCAATAATGTATACAATACAGACTTATGAATATTTTGTAGACATCATGTGATCAGTATTAGACCTGAACAAAAATGTCACATTTTTATTATTTCAATTCTTTGTTTTCATAACAGTTATATTCTAAGATCAGTCACAGAACTACAATGTGAAGAATTACACGGTGTGAATATGCACAAATTGCAGAAACAAATTAATGCTATATTTTCAATAACTGTCAGCATGCCCAATTCTTGGCATTCGTTTTAGGGTTCCCATTAAATGGTTTATTCAAATTGTATCTGCTGACACTTAATATTTATCCACAGAGTGGAGAATCACAAAGATTCACTTTCATTCCAAATAATTGTAACTCATGATAATACAGAATGGCAAAACCAGTACCCGTACCCTCAGAAATTTCTAACAATTTGCATAAAAAAAATATAGTTTTCAGTATTTGCACCTGAATGAAATATAATTCTAGGACGTGTTTGAGGCTTTTTCAAGAGTTTTTATGAAGGATATTATATTTTCTCTGAGTGAATACAAGATTAGTTTCTACAGATTAAAACTAGTCGACATTTCCATGGGAGACAACAAATTGATAAATCAGTTTCGATTTCTGCATCATCATTATTCATTTTGGTGACTCTCCCATCGCCAGCTACCCTCCTAATCATCAGACACCCTCCCATCAGCAGCCACCCTCCCATCACCAGACACCGTCCCATCACCAACCACCATCCCATCAGCAGCCACCCTCCCATCACCAGACACCGTCCCATCACCAACCACCATTCCATCACCAACCACCCTCCCATCACCAGCCACCCTCCCCTCACAAAACAACCTCCCATCCTTAGCCACCCTCCCATCACTAGACACCCTCTCATTGGCAGACATCATCCCATCAACAACCACCTTCCCATTACAAACGACCCTCCCATCACCAACCACCCTCCCATCACCAGCCACCCTCCCCTCACAAAACAACCTCCCATCCTTAGCCACCCTCCCATCACTAGACACCCTCCCATTGGCAGACATCATCCCATCAACAACCACCTTCCCATCACAAAACAACCTCCCATCCTTAGCTACCCTCCCATCACTAGAAACCCTCCCATTGGCAGACATCATCCCATC